GGACTCAAACCCGGGTTGGCCGCATGCCAGACCAGCGCCCTCCCCGTTGGGCTCTCACTCCAGCCCCCCAAGGTTATTTTCTTGTCTCTACCCCAAACCGTAGCTTCTGTCTCGCCTTTTCCAAACAGACTCTGGTGGGGGGTGGCTGGAGAACTGGTCAGCAGGGCGGGTGTCTGCTCTTCACACGGGCCAGGCCGGTGTCAACCAGATCCCCCAGCACCCCGGGAGTGACCCCTGCAGGCAGAGCCTGGAGTCGTCCACCACTGCTGAGCGGCTGTTACTGGGGGGTGGGTGGACGCAGCATCTGGTCTACCAGCTGGTCACAGCCCAGCCGCCTTTCTTGGTTTCCAGGGAATATCGGAGTGTGTGTGGGGTGGGGGACATCGTTTGCTTCCGGCTGTCCGTGCACACAACCCCGTTTCTCTCCTGCTTTGAGTCACTACAGTATTTTCGTTGTGAGTCAACGATGCAGTCTTATTCCCACGGAAACACAATAGGTGATTCTGTGTGTCCACTAAATATTGTACACGCACGGGCCTGAGGCAGCTGTTTTGACAGCTCGTAGCACGATCTAACTGCGTGCCAATGGTCCATGTGTGCCTCTGTGTGTCTTTATTGCATACCAGTGTTTTTTTTTTAGTTTTTATTAGTGAAAACACCATGAGGTCCAGTCGTAGACTTACAGATTTTGGTGCTTGGGTGTCAGTTATACAATGACCGAGTACCCATCCCTCCACCAGTGCCCATTCTTCATCATTTACTTTTTTTTTTTTAAGTTTTTGTTAGTGAAACAACATGAGGTACAGTTGTAGACTTACAAATTTTTGCCACTTGGGTTTCAGTTCTACAATGATCGAACACCCATCCCTCCACCAGTGCCCATTTCCCACCACCACGGATCCCAGTGTCCCTCCCACCCCCCATCCCCCCCATCCCACCCTGCCTCTGTGGCAGGGCATTCCCTTTGGTTCTCTCTCTCCTTTTGGGTGCTGTGTTTTGCAAGAGAGGCACTGAGTGGCCATCATGTTCGGTCCATAGTCTACTTTCAGCATGCTTCTGCCATTCTGGGAGGATCCTCCCAACACCCTTTATTTGGTGCTCCCTTCTCTGTCTGAGCTGCCTTTTCCCCTAGCGTGTGTGGCTGGCCTCCAAGCCATGCAGTGAACCTCCTGCATACCAGTGTGTTTTGATGCCTAGATACTGTCTGTCCGTGGATTTTTTTTTCCCTTTTGCTTTTTGGGTCACACCCGGCGATGCTCAGGGGTCCCTCCTGGCTCTGCACTCAGGAATCAGCCCTCCTGGTGGTGCTCGGGGGACCCTAGGGGATGCCGGGAATTGAACCCGGGTTGGCTGCGTGCCAGACCAACGCCCTCCCCGCCGTGCTCTCGCTCCAGCCCGTGTCTGTGGATCTTACGGCGATCTCTGCCTTGTCTGACTGTGTGTCTGTGTGCCTGCCGGCACATCTAGACCGACATTGGTCTACCTGCGTGGATAATCTCAATTTCTGGGTCTCCAGCATTTGTGTTTTATAAAGTCCTGTGTCCTTCCGTGCTCAGGGTGCCTCGTTTGCAAGGTTCTCAGCGTGCACACTGAGAGCATCCAGGGACTGTCCTTAGACTTTGAATTAGTGCCACCCGTGAAACGTAGTTCATCATGTTATCGTGGTAGTGGTTAGGATTGAATGCAACCTAATGATGAGAGAGAGAGAGAGAGAGAGAGAGAGAGAGAGAGAGAGAGAAAGAGAGGGAGAGGAAGATAGAGGGAGAGAGAGAGGGAGAGTGAGAAAGAAGGAGAGGGAGAGGGAGGGAGTGAGAGAAAGAGAGAGAGAGCCGGAGGGAGAGAGTGCGGAGGTGTCATGAGTGTAACCGAGCTGCAAACAAAGGAAGCTTGCGGCCAACCGAGGAGACAGAAATGAGATGATTTTATTGGAGAGGCAACGGCACCGGGTCACACAGCAGCTGTGGCGAGAGGCCGCTGTCCCCCGAGGGCACAGTGACAGCCAGGCGCGAAGCCATTTCCTTCCCCTCCCAGCCTGCGGAGGACAGCGTCATCCCTCACCTGGCCTCTGCCAGGGAACAGAAGGGTTTTTCGACAGGGGGTGGGGGGTGAGCGGCAGGAGGAGGAAGCAGAGGCGGTGGGGGAGGAGGAAGAGGAGGAGAAGATGAAGAGGAGGGGGAGGAGGAGGGGGGGGAGGGGGAAGAAGAAAAGAGGAGGAGGAGAAAGAGGACAAGGAGGAAGAGAGAAGGATGAATAGGAGAAGAAGGAGGAGGTGAAGGAATAGGAGGAAGAGGAGGGAGAGGAGGAGGAGGAGAAGGAGAAGGAGGGGGAAGAGGGAGGAGGAAGAGATGGAGGAGGTGAAGGAATAGGAGGAAGAGGAGAGGAGGAGGAGGAGGAGGAAGAGGAAGAGGAGGGGGAAGAAGAGAAGGAGGAGAAGGAGGAGGAAGAAGAAAAGAGGAGGAAGAGGAAGAAAAGAGGAGGAGAAGGAGGAGGAGGAGGGGGAGGGGGGAGGAGGGAGGAGGGGGAAGAAGAGGAGGAGAAAGAGGAGGAGGAAGAGGAGGAAGAGGAGGAGAAAGAGCAGAGGAGAAGGAGAAAGAGGAGGAGGAGGGGGAGAAGGAAGGGGAAGAGGGAGGAGGAAGAGATGGAGGAGGTGAAGGAATAGGAGGAAGAGGAGGGAGAGGAAGAAGGGGTAGAGAAGGAGGAGCAGAAGGAGGAGGAGGAGGAGGAGGGAGAGGAGAAGCCCAGTCTTAGCTTGACCCGCTGTAAGCACTGACCTGCACGACTCATCAGCCTGTGTTTGGAAACGACCGTGCGTCCTCCTAGTTCTCCGTGAATCGATGTCCCCGTTGACCCCAGAACGTTCCCAAAACTTCCGAGCTCTTTAGGAGCCCCCTTTCCACCCTGCAGATGAATCGTCACCACTGTCACCACTGTCATCAACTCCATCACCACCATCATCACCATAATCACCACCATCACCACCATCACCATCATCACCATCACCATCATCACCACCATCACCATCATCTCCACCACCATCACCACCATCACCATCACCACCACCATCATAATCACCATCAACACCATCATCACCATAATCACCACCATCACCATCATCACCATCACCATCACCACCACCATCATAACCGTCGCCACCATCACCATCACCACCATCATAATCACCATCATCACCATCACCACCATCATCACCATCATCCCCATCACCATCATCATCACTATAACCACCAACACCATCATCATCACCATCATCACTACCATTATCACCATCATCACCACCATCACCACCACCATCACTACCATCACCTCACCACCATCACCACCATCACCATCATCACCACCATCACCATCACCACCACCATCATAATCATCACCGCCATCACTACCATCATCACCATCACCACCATCACCACCATCACCATCACCACCACCATCACTACCATCATCACCATCACTGCCATCACCATCATCATCACTATCACCACCATCACCATCATCATAATCACCATCATCATCACTATCACCACCAACACCATCATCATCACCATCATCACCACCACCACCATCATCATAACCATCATCACCATCACCACCACCACCACCATCACCAACACCATTACTGCCATCACCACCATCATCACCAACACCATTACTGCCATCACCACCATCATCACCATTACCACCACCACTATCACCATCATCCCCATCACCATCATCATCACCACCACCACCACCACCACCATCATCACCAACACCATTACTGCCATCACCACCATCATCACCATTACCACCACCACTATCACCATCATCCCCATCACCATCATCATCACCACCACCACCACCACCACCATCATCACCAACACCATTACTGCCATCACCACCATCATCACCATTACCACCACCACTATCACCATCATCCCCATCACCATCATCATCACCACCACCACCACCACCACCATCATCACCACCATCACCACCATCACCATCACCACCACCATCATAATCATCACCACCATCACCACCATCATCACCATCACCACCATCACCACCATCACCGTCACCACCACCATCACTACCATCATCACCATCACTACCACCATCACCATCATCATCACTATCACTGCCATCACCATTATCATCACTATTACCACCATCACCACCATCACCATCATCATAATCACCATCATCACCATCACCACCATCACCACCATCACCACCATTACCACCATCACTATCACCATCATCCCCATCACCATCATCATCACTATCACCACCAACACCATCATCGTCACCATCATCACCACCACCACCATCATCATAACCATCATCACCATCACCATCACCACCACCACCATCACCAACACCATTACTGCCATCACCACCATCATCACCATTACCACCACCACTATCACCATCATCCCCATCACCATCATCATCACCACCACCACCACCACCATCATCATAACCGTCATCACCACCATCACCATCATCACCATCACCATCACCACCACCATCAAGATGACCCCAGACACCTCTTTTGGGGGCAGCGCCGTTCCCCGTCACAGGCTCGAGTCATTGTGGAATCCACGACCCTTGCTAACTTGCCGACTGCACCGCTCGCTCAGAGGTTAGCTGGGCAGTGCCGGGCACCTCCAGGAGTGCTCCCCGGGCGGTGCTCCAGGAACACAGCTCACTGTGGCGTCCCCGCGGCACTGTGTGCTATCCGGGTGGGCATGGCCGACCTCTGAGCTCCCTCAGACCTGCCCAGGGCCGAGTCCCTTCATCTGGACATTCCTTGCTCTCCTCCGTGATGCGTGTGAATCTCTGTGCCCATGAGGGGTGACCGCCGGGAGGGGACCGTCCTCCAAAGCCCGGTGTCCCCGGCCTGGGCGCGGCTTGGCCCGTGGAGCTTGGGGCGGGCGGGAATGGGCGTCTCGTGTCCCTCTGTTGCCCGCTCACCACCTCCCTCCCTCTGCCCCCTGCAGTGTTTCCCCCGCAGCCCGGGCGCGTGGCCATCGTCACGGGAGGCACGGACGGCATCGGCTACGCCACGGCCAGGCGGCTGGCCCGCCTGGGCATGCACGTCATTCTCGGTGAGCCGGGTGGAGGACCGTGGGGGGATGAGGGAGGGCCGGGCACCAGCACCCGAACCCACGCTGGGCTCTCAGCACAAACAGAACCCGGTCACCCGCGTGGGCTTCTCCCGGGGCGTTGGGCGTGGACACACGGCAACTGTCCGCAGCCCCTGACCTTGCCCAGAGCCAGGCTGTCTGCTCTGGGGTGACCCCCGGCTTCTACCCGCCGGAACCAGGCGGACAGAAGGAACTGCTCCTGCAAAGAATTCTCAATTAAGTAACTGTGATCTACAAAGAGGGTGATAGTTGGGTTGGAGGCGTAGCTGACTTCCACAGCCACCCCACCCCCAGCGTCACTGACCGCCACTATTGGTTACCCTCCACCAGTGTCCACTTCCCAGAGGCAGTGTCCACTTCCCAGCAGTAGTGTCCACTTCCCAGAGGCAGTGTCCACTTCCCAACAGTAGTGTCCACTTCCCAAAAGCAGTGTCTACTTCCCAGAAGTGGTATCCACTTCCCAGAAGCGGTGTCCACTTCCCAGAAGCAGTGTCCACTTCCCAGAAGCGATGTCCACTTCCCAGAGGTAGTGTCCACTTCCCAGAGGCGGTGTCCACTTCCCAGAAGCGGCGTCCACTTCCCAGAAGCTGTGTCCACTTCCCAGCAGTGATGTCCACTTCCCAGAAGCAGTGTCCATTTCCCATCCCTAGTGTCCACTCTCCACCCACCCCCTGTGTCTCCCTCTCTGGGGCTTTCCCCGGGACCAGCCTGGTCTGGCCACAGTCAGCCAGGCGCCGGCCTTGCCTGGGTCTTCCCGGGTTCTCTCCCCACCACCCAGCGCACTGACCAGCCTGACCCCGGGACTGACCCCACAGCACAACCGGCAGGAAGCAGATAAAAATGCTTCGTCCAGGCTCTGGGGGACTCAGTGACCGCCGGGCGCAAAGGGCTGGACCCCAGAGTCCCCCATCGCGGAAATACCCAACTGTGTTTGAGCTCGGGGTCCGTCCCCGGGATTTCTCGGTGGCCCGTGTCCAGCCGGGACTTGAGGGAACAGGCCAGGCTTGGCCGGGGACGCGGGCGGGCCCTGCCCCATCCTGCCCCGTGTCCAGCCGTGTCCTCCCTTTCCCTTCCAGCCGGGAATGACCAGCGGAAGGCCCAGGAGGCCGTGAGGAAGATGAAGGAAGAAACGCTGAACGGGCAAGGTAGGCGCTGGCCACTCGGTGATGGGGGTGGGGGTGGGGGTTCCCCGTCGCTGTCCGCAGGGCCCTGGACGCTGGACTGAGGTCCTGGCTCTCCCTCTCTCCCTCTCTCTCCCTCCATCTCTCCTCTTTCTCCTCTCTCCATCTCTCTCTTTCTGTCTGTCTCTTGTCTCCATTTCTCTCCTCCTGTCTTCCTCTTTCTCTCCATCTCTCTCTTTCTCTCTCCCTCTCTCCTTCTCTCTCTCCTTCTTTTTCTCGTCTCTCTGTCTCTCTCTTTCTCTTTCTGTCTCTTGTCTCCGTTTCTCTCCTCTCTCCTTTCTCTCCATCTCTCTCTTTCTCTCTCCCTCTCTCCATCTCTCTCCTTGTCTCTTATCTCTCCATCCCTCTCTCTTTCCATCTCTCTTGTCTGTCCATCTCTCTCCTCTCTCCATCTCTCCTTCTCTCTCCCTCTCTCCTTCTCTCTCCCTCTCTCCATCTCTCTCTCCTTCTCTTTCTCGTCTCTCCGTCTCTCTCTTTCTCTTTCCGTCTGTCTCTTGTCTCCATTTCTCTCCTCTCTCCTTCTTTCTCTCCATCTCTCTCTCCCTCTCTCCATCTCTCTCCTTGTCTCTTATCTCTCCATCCCTCTCTCTTTCCATCTGTCTCATCCCTCCATGTCTCTCCTCTCTCCCTTCCTCTCTCCATCTCTCCTTCTCTCTCCTTCTCTCCACCTCTCCATCTCTCTCCATCTCTGTCCATCTCTGTCCATCTCTGTCCAACTCTCTCCATCTCTCTCCCTCATCCCTCTCTCCACCTCTCCATCTCTCTCTTTCTCTCTCCCTCTCTCCATCTCTCTCCTTGTCTCTTATCTCTCCATCCCTCTCTCTCTTTCCATCTGTCTTACCCCTCCATCTGTCTCCTCTCTCTGTTCTTCTCTCCTCTCTCCATCTCTCCTTCTCTCTCCCTCCATCTCTCCCTTTCTCTTTCCGTCTGTCTCTCGTCTCCATTTCTCTCCTCCATCTCTCCTTCTCTCCTTCTCTCTCCCTCTCTCTCTTTCCGTCTGTCTTGTACTTCCATTTCTCTCCTCTTTCTCTTCTCTCTCCATCTCTCCTTCTCTCTCCTCTCCTTCTCTCTCCTCTTTCTCGTCTCTCCATTTCTCTCTGTCTCTTTCCGTCTGTCTCTTGTCTCCATTTCTCTCCCTCTTTCTCTCCCTCTCTCTCTTTCTCTCTCCCTCTCTCCATCTCTCTCCTTGTCTCTTATCTCTCCATCTCTCTCTTTCCATCTGTCTCATTTCTCCATCTCTCTTCTCTCTCCCTTCCTCTATCTCTCCCTCTCTCCGTCTCTCCTTCTCTCTCCCTCTCTCCATCTCTCTCTCCTCTTTCTTGTCTCTCTATCTCTCTCTCTTTCTGTCTGTCTCTTGTCTCCTCTCTCCCTCTGTCTCTCTCTGTCTCTCTCTGTCTCTCCTCTCCCTTCTCTCCATCTCTCTCTCTCTCTCCTCTCTGCATCTCTCTCTCCGTCTCTCTCACTCCCACCCAGGGAAGGAAAGACCATTCTAGAATCCCTGAGCTATCGCCCGATTCCCCCCCAATCTGCCCTCTCTGCCGGGGCGGGTCACTGCGGTGGCCGTATCCCAGCCACGGTGGCCGCTCACCCCAGCACCCGGCGGTCCGCGGTGCCCGCATGGAATCACACAGAGAACCGAGGGTGCTGTTGACCGTGGCCGGCCGGGCCACTCTCTGCGTCTCTGACACTGAGCCCCACCCCTGGGGGCCTCCCGTGTTCCCTCTCGGGTCCCCACGAAGCCCCTGGGCGCGGCTGACCGCTGGGTCCCTCAGGAATGACACTCGGGATAAGCAGAGACACAATCATGTCTCCCAGCAGCTCTGAGCCGGCCACCTCCCGCCCAGCCTGTCACCCCCGATTCTCTTCCTCCGTCTCCCCGGGTCCAAGGGCGACAGCTTCCGGCTGGCTGCCGCGTCCCTCTGGACGTCCATCTGGGGGGCCTGTCAGGATGCATCACCCGGGTTCCAGCCAGCCAGGCGTGACCGTGACCTTGTCCCAGGGACCCCGGGCCACCTTCGGTTGATTCAGTGTTTCACTGCTGGATTGGGTTGGGGGGTGGGGGACACACCCGTGGGCACCCAGGGGTCACTCCTGGCAGGGCTCGGGGGACCCCGATGGGGTGTCCCGGGGATGGAGCCCAGAGGCTGTTGCATGCCACGAAAATGATGTATCGGCTGCCTAGTCTCTGCAGCCCTGATGATGGTGTGGCTTTTAGAGTCTGGAAAGAGGAAGGAAGGAGGGAAGGAGGGAGGGAGGGAGAAGGAAGGGAGGAAGGAAGGAAGGAAGGAAGGAAGGAAGGAAGGAAGGGAGGGAGGGAGGGAGGACGGAAGGAAGGAACAGAGGAAGGTGGGAAGGAAGGAAGGAAGGAAGGAGAGGGAGGGAGGAAAGAAGAAAGAAAGGAAGGAAGAGCACAGAGCTGGGAGTCAGCCCCGAGCATAGAGCCGGGAGTCAGCCCTGAGCACTGAGCCGGGAGTCAGCCCCGAGCACAGAGCCGGGAGTCAGCCCCAAGCACAGAGCCGGGAGTCAGCTCTGAGCACAGAGCTGGGAGTAGCCCCGAGCACAGAGCCAGGAATCAGTCCCGAGCCCTTGAGTACAGAGCCAGCAGTCAGCTCTGAGCACAGTGCCGGTAGTCAGCCCTGAGCACAGACCACAGAGCCATGAGTCATCCCTGAGCACAGAGCCGGGAGTCAGCCCTGAGCACAGAGCCTGGAGTCAGCCCCGAGCACAGAGCCAGCAGTCAGCCCCGAGCCCTGAGCACAGAGCCAGGAGTCAGCTCTGAGCACAGTGCCTGTAGTCAGCCCTGAGCACAGACCACAGAGCCGGGAGTCAGCCCTGAGCAGAGAGTCAGGAGTCAGCCCTGAGCACAGAGTCAGGAGTCAGCCCTGAACACAGAGCTGGGAGTCATCCCTGAGCAAGAGCCGGGACTCAGCCCTGAGCACAGAGCCAGGAGTCAGCCCCGAGCCCTGAGCACAGAGCCAGGAGTCAGCCCTGAGCGCAGTCAGGAGTCAGCCCTGAGCACAGAGCCAGGAGTCAGTTCTTAGCATCCGTGAGTGTGGCCCAAAGTATTCACTGCTCCAAAGAAGATCGAAAACCAGCGATCGGGGAAAACTTTACATTTTGAGACGGCCCCAACAAACTTAGAAGTGTGGCCATTTCTGTGGCAAATTTTTTTTTTCTTTTTGGGTCACACCCAGCGATGCTCAGGGCTTCCTCCTGGCTCTGCACTCAGGAGTTACTCCTGGCAGTGCTCGGGGGACCCTAGGGGATGCTGGGAATCGAACCCGGGTCGGCCACGTGCCAGGCAAACACCCTCCCCGCTGGGCTCTCGCTCCAGCCCCCAGTGTGGCAATTTTTTTAATATCAATTTTTTCCCTAAATTTTTCTTAGTGAGACACCATGAGGTACAGTTGTAGAAACTTACAAAATTTTGTGCTTGAGTTTCCGTTCTGCAATGATCAAGTCCACATCCTCTCTGGATGATTATTATTATTATTTTTTTTTGCTGGTGTCTCTACAGTTAAATCTTTCTCTTTTATTTTTTATTTTTTATTTTTTATTAGTGAGACACCATCAGGTCCAGTTGCAGACTCACAAATTTTTGTGCTTGGGTTTCGATGATACAATGATCGAGGACCCATCCTCTCTGAATTATTTCTTTCTTTCTTTCTTTTTTTGCTGGTGTCTCTCTACAGTTAAATCTCTTTTTTTTTCTTTTTTTTTTTAAATTTTTATCAGTGAGACACCATGAGGTCCAGTTGTAGACTTGCAGATTTTTGTGCTTGGGTTTTAGTGATACATTTAAATATCAATTTTTAAAAATCATTTTTTAATATGAATCTTGAGGATATGATTTTATTTCACCCGGATATCATCGCCACGTGTGATCGATTTTAGAAACGGAAAGGTTCGTTTTTTTTTTTTTGTTTTTCACCCTTTTTGTGTATCTGGTGGCATCTGCCACGTATGCAAAATACATATAATATTATACATGTGATTTATTTTACGTGCCCTATTGACCGGACGCTGTATCTGTTACATGTGTGGAATACACGTGGTGTGTGATTTTTTTTTTTCACACCATTTCGGTGCTCCCTGGCCCCAGATATCATGATCTGGGTTCACAGAGGGGAAAAAAAAAAAAGGAATTTAAAAAAAAAAGAAGAAAGGAAAAAAAAAATGTCCCTTTGGTTCGAAAAACAAAGCGTTTTTTTTTTCCCCCCCAAAGGAGGGGAGCCGGGTGGCGTCTGTCCCTGCTGCCGCCGCTGGGTTCTGTGTGAGCGTTTTCTTTGAGCGCGTCCAACCGGGCGCGATAATGAGCTGCAATTACTCCGGAATGAAACCCCGGTGGAGGCTCCAACAATAGGTCTGGGCGTGCGAGAATGTTCCTGCAGCTTGGCGGCTCAGCCTTTGTGTGCTTCTTTATCCTTCTTGGGGGGGGGAGGGGGGATTAAGGCAGGACAGGGGTGTGGGCTGGAGGGTGGGTGGGGGGAGGGCAGAATCCCGCAGGGCTCTGGGGGCTGGCTGAGGTCTCGGCTCCATCCAAGGAAGATGCAGTTCCTGTCTGCCAGTCCAGCTCTGTCCCGGGAAGATGCAGTTCCTGTCTGCCAGCCCAGCTCTGTCCCGGGAAGATGCAGTTCCTGCCTGCCGGCCCCGTGCTTGATTGGGGGAGTGGGGGGTGTCTGGGAAAGCGTGGAGGCTGTTCCTGAAGAGAGAGGCAGTACTCAGGCCCTGGCCCGAGAAATAAGGCCGCGGGGAGAGACATGAGATAGCAGGGAGAGAAGAAAGAAGACACTGCAGAGAGAAATAAGACGTCGCAGAGAGACATAAGACAGCAGGGAGAGATATAAGGAAAGAGAGAGAGAGAGAGAGAGAGAGAGAGAGAGAGAGAGAGAGAGAGAAATAAGACAATGAGACAGAAATAAGACAGCGGGGAGAGAACTAAGACACCCTCAAACCTCCTTTTTCTCACAGTTCCCGATTTCTCCGTTGGGAGAGGCAGCGGGCAGGGCCCGGGGGCCGCGGTCGGGGCTGGCGGGGGGCGTGGGGGGCGGCGTGGAGACCCCCGACCCAGCCCGAGTCCCCCCCCACCCCCGTGTCCCCGCAGTGGAGTTCCTGTACTGTGACCTGGCCTGCATGCGCTCCATCCGCGAGTTTGTGCAGGCGTTCCGGCAGAAGGGGCTCCCCCTGCACGTGCTCGTCAACAACGGTGAGGGGGTCGCACACGCCGGGGATGGGGCGGGTCCGGGGGGGTCTAGCCTGGTCCGCGGGGACCCGGGTCCCATCCCTGGCGTCCCACAGGGTGCCCTGAACCCAGCTAGAGGGATTCCTGAATACAGAGCCGGGAGTTAGCCCTGAGCACTGATGCAGGAGTCAGCCCTGAGTACAGAGTCAGGAGTGAGCCCCGAGGAAAGAGTGGGAGTCAGTCCGGAGCACAGAGCCAGGAATCACCCGGGAGCACAGAGCTGGGAGTGAGTCCTGAGTGCAGAGCTTGGACTCAGCCCTGAGCACTGAGACAGCAGTGATCCCTGAGCACTGAGTCAGGAGTGAGCCCTGAGCACAGAGCCAGGAATCAGCCATGAGCACTGAGCCGGGAGTCAGCCCTGAGCACTGAGACAGGAGTGATCCCTGAGCACAGAGGTGGGAGTCAGCCCTGAGCACCAAGCCGGGAGTCAGCCCTGAGCACAGAACTGGGAGTCAGCTCTGAGCACAGAAACAGGAATCCATGAGCACAGAACTCATGTTCTGTGACCCTGAGCACAGAGGTGGGAGTCAGCCCTGAGCACAGAGCCAGGAGTCACTCTTGAGCACAGAGCTGGGAGTCAGCCTGAGCACAGAGCCTGAAGTCAGCCCTGAGCACTGAGCTGGGAGTCATCCCTGAGCAGGGACCCAGGCACGTCCACTGCCGTCCGTTCCCTTGCTGTCCCTCCGTCCGTCCGTCCGTCCGTCCGCCCCCGGGACCCGCCCGTCCCGCTGACCCGCCCTCTGCCCTGCCCAGCCGGCGTGATGATGGTGCCCCAGCGGAGCACCCGGGACGGCTTCGAGGAGCACTTTGGCCTCAACTACCTGGGCCACTTCCTGCTGACCAACCTGCTGCTGGACGTGCTCCAGGCCTCGGGCTGCGCCGGACGCTGCGCCCGGGTCGTGTCCGTGGCCTCCGCCACCCACTACGTGGCCCACATGGACATGGACGACCTGCAGGGCAGGTGCCGGACGGGGCGCGGGGCGGGGCGGGCGCGGGGCGGGCGCGGGCGGGCGCGGGCGGGTGCGGGCGGGCCTTCCTCCCTCCCTTCCCTCCTCCCTTCCTTTCTTCTTTCCTTCTTTCCCTCCCTCCCTGCCTCCCTCCCTTCCTTCCTTGCTTCCTTCCTTCCTTTCTTCCTTTCTTCTTTCCTTGCTTCCTTCCTTATTTCTTCTGCTTCTTCCTTCTTCTCTCTCGTTCCTTCTTTCCTTCCTTTTTTTCTTTCTTCCTTTCTTTTTTCCTTCCTGCCTTTTTTTCCTCCCTCCCTCCCTTCCTTCCTTCCTTCCATCTGTTTTTCCTTCCTTCCATTTTTCTTCCTTCCTTCCTTCTTTCCTTGTTTTCTTCCTTCTTTCTTTCGCTTCTTCCTTCTCTCTCATTCCTTCGTTCCTTCCTTCCTTTTTCTTTCTTCCTTTCTTTTTTCCTTCCTGCCTTTTTTCTCCCTTCCTTCCTTCTTTCCTTCCTTCCTTCCATCCATTTTTCCTTCCTTCCTTCCTTTTTTCTTCCTTCCTTCTTTCCTTGTTTTCTTCCTTCTTTCTTTCGCTTCTTCCTTCTTCTCTCTCCTTCCTTCCTTCCCTCTAACCTTCCTTCTTTCCTTCCTTCCTTCCTTCCTTCCTTTTTCCTTCCTTCCTTCCTTCTTCTCCTTCTTCCTCTTCTTCCTTCTCTCTCCTTCCTTCCTTCCCTCTAACCTTCCTTCCTTCCTTCCTTCCTTTTTTCCTTGTTTTCTTCCTTCTTTTTTTCACTTCTTCCTTCTTCTCTCTCCTTCCTTCCTTCCCTCTAATCTTCCTTCCTTCCTTCCTTCCTTCCCTTTCTCCCTCCCTCCATCTCCTATCTCTCTCCATCTGCAGAGAGATGGAGAGAGATAGAAGAGAGATGGAGAGACAAAACCTGGAGAGAGACAGAGATGAAGAGAGAGACAAATGGAAAGAAGGAGAGATACAGAGATGGAGAGAGAGATGGAGAGAGGGAGAGAGACATGGAGAACGGGAGAGGTGGAGACAGATGGAGGGAGACATGGGGAGAGAGATGGAGAGAGACAAATGGAGAGAGACATGGAAAGAGGGAGAGAGACAGAGATGGAGAAAGAGACGGAGAGACAGATGGGGAGAGACAGAAAGAAGGAGAGAGATGGGAGATGCAGAGAGAGAGGGAGAGAGAGAGAGCACCAAGACAGGAGCAGCTGTCCAGAGCCCCCGCCCGGGCCCTTCCTGCCAAGCCCTGGTCCTGCCCACCTGCGTGTGGACGTGTCACGGGGGCCCGGACGGGGGCGGCCGGGGGTCCCTCCTGGACGCCCGCCGGCCTCACCGCGTCCCCCTCGTGTGTCGCCCCGTGTGTCCCCCCCCAGGCGCGGCTACTCGGCCCACGGCGCCTACGCGCAGAGCAAGCTGGCCCTGGTGCTGTTCACGTACCAGCTGCAGGCCCTGCTGGCCGCCCGGGGCTGCCCGGTCACCGCCAACGCCGCCGACCCCGGCGTGGTGGACACGGACCTCTACCGACACGTCTTCTGGGGCCGCAGCCTGCTCAAGCGCCTGGCCGCCCCCTGGTTCTTCAAGGTCAGTGTCCGGCCCGGGTCCGGGCGTCCCCCGGGCGGGTGATTGTGGTGGCCGGAATTTGTCTCCCCTGGGTGGACCCCTTCTGAGCCCAGGCTGGAGCGGGGAGGGTGGCCCGTGGGTGGGTGGACTCGACGCTCGGAGCCCAGGACTCTGGCGGGACAAGGTGCTCCGTCTGTCTCTGTCTCTCTGTGTGTCTCTCTGTCTCTGTGTCTCTGTCTCTCTGTCTCTCTCTGTCTCTCCCTGTGTCTCTGTCTCTGCCTGTCTCTCTGTCTCTGTGTCTCTGTCTCTGTGTCTCTGCCTCTCTCTCTGTCTCTGTCTCTGTCTCTCTCTGACTCTGTCTCTGTCTCTCTGTCTTTGTCTCTGTGTCTCTACCTCTCTCTCTCTCTGTGTCTCTGTCTGTCTCTGTCTCTCTGTCTCTGTCTCTCTGTCTCTGTCTGTCTCTCTGTCTCTACCTCTGTCTCTGTGTCTCTGTCTGTCTCTGTCTCTCTGTATCTATATCTCTCTGTCTCTCTGTCTCTGTCTCTCTCTGTCTCTCTGTCTCTGTGTCTCTATGTCTTTCTGTCTCTGTCTCTCTGTCTTTCTCTGTCTGTCTCTGTCTCTGTTTATGTTCTCTCTCTCCCTCTCTGTCTCTCTCTGTGTCTCTGTCTCTGTCTCTGTCTTTCTTTATCTGTCTCTCTCTGTTCTCTGTCTATCTCTGTTTCTCTTTCTTTTTTCTCTCAGTCTCTCTCTGTCTCTGTCTCTTTGTCTCTGTCTTCCTCTCTTTGTCTCTCTTTGTCTCTTTCTCTCTATGTCTGGGTCACTCTCTGTTTCTCTCTGGGTCTCTGTGTCTTTCTCTGTTTCTGTTCATGTTCTCTTTCTGTTTCTCTCTGTCTCTCTCTGTCTCTCTCTCTGCCTTTCTTTGTCTGTCTCTCTATTCTCTGTCTTTATCTCTGTCTCTCTGCTCTCTCTCAGTCTCTCTCTCTATCTCTGTCTCTTTCTCCCTCTCTGTCTCTGTCTCTCTCTGGGTCTCTGTCTCTTCGTCTCTGTCTTGCTTTCTCTTTCTGTCTGGGTCACTCTCTGTTTCTCTCCGACTCTTTCTCTTTCTGTATCTCTCTCTGTCTCTTTGTGTCTCTCTGTTCTCTGTGTGTACATGTGTTCATGGTGTGACCACACATAGGCTTCTGCACCCGTGTGGACACTCACATGTAAATTATGCACATGCATGTGCTCATGACATGTGTGTGTGCATGGCAAGCACACGTGATTAGAGATGTGCGTGCACCGTGAGCACACGTGATCACGTACACATGTGTGTGAGCATGTATGATTTTGTGCATGTGTGTGTTCACATGTTCCCGGCAGGAGGGCACGTGTCTGAGCATGTATCATCCTGTGTATGTGTGTGTTGTGGAGATAAGGGTGCACGCAAGCCCACGCAGATGCGTGTGTGAGCCCGGGTGTCTGCAAAGTGTGCGCATGTGTCTGTATGTATGCTGTATATGTGTTCATGGCGTGACCACACATAGGCTTTTGCACCCGTGTGGACACTCACATGTGACTTATGCGCATGTGTGTGTTCACAATGGTGTGTGTGCACGGTGAGCACACATGATTAGAGATGTGTGTGCACTGTGAGCACACGTAATCACATACACATGTATGTGAGCACATATGATTTCATGCGTGTGTATTCACGTGTTCCCGGAAGGAGGGCACGTGTCTGAGCATGTATCATCCTGTGTGTGTGTGTTGTGGAGATAAGGGTGCACGCAAGCCCACGCAGATGCATGTGTGAGCCTGGGTGTCTGTGAAGTGTGTGCATGTGTGTGTATGTATGCTGTGTGTGCCTTCTGAACACACGTGAGCATGTGCCTGTGTGAGCATATGTGTGTTCATGGCATGACCACACATAGGCTTCTGCACCCGTGTGAACACTCACATATGACTTATGCGCATGTGTGTGTGCACGGCAAGCACACGTGATTAGAGATGTGTGCATTATGAACACACATGATCACGTACACATGCATGTGAGCATGTATGATTTCATGCGTGTGTGTTCACGTGTTCCCGGCAGGAGGGCAAGTAACTGAGCACGTATCATCCTATGCGTGTGTGTTGCAGAGATAAGGGTGCACGCAAGCCCACGCAGATGCGTGTCCGTGTGCGTGTCCATGTTCGCACATGCTGTAGCGTGTTGGCATGTCCCCATGACGAAGACGACATGCAGGGGCGCAGGAGGGATGGCGTCCTGTCGCGTGCAGAAGAACACGAGCACCGTGGCATGCGGCGGGCTTGTCCAAGCACACCCGGGTCGCAGACGTGTGCGCACACGCGTGACCTCTATGCCCGTGAACACACGCACGCAGGCAGACACGCCCCCTCCCCCCCCAGCCTGTCGGAGCTGTGCTGCGTGGAGTCACACGTGGCTCCCGGGGGGGGGGGGGCAGACGCCACGCTCGGTGACATGAGCTGCACCGAGACTCGGGAAGGAAAAAGCGTCTCTTCCCTGAGCTGTCACAATATTGGGGGATTAACGAGTCGCAGATGAAATCTCGGCGCCCCCGGCGGCGTGATCACGCTGAGCCCTGCCAGGCTCCGCGGGGCGCCCTTGTCGCGGGTGGCGGGGGTGGCGGCCGGGCCCCGGGCGGGGGCAGCCCAGAGGGGACCCTGAGCCCCGCGGGTCACGCTCACGCCCCGGCTAAATCCCGGCTTGCCGCGAGTGTGTGCAGACGTGCTGTGCTGTGTCTCTGTGTGTGTGTCTGTGTGTGCGACAGAGAGCTGGTGTGTGGGAGCGGAGCTGTGGGAGTGAATGCTGGCGGGAGTCTGGGTGTGTTCACATGTGCACCTGTGCACATGTGTGTCTGCGTGAGTGCCCGTGTGCTGTTGTGTGGGAATGCATTGTGTGTGTGTGTGTGTGTGAGAGAGAGAGAGAGAGACCTGGTACATGGGAGTGGAGGTGTGGGAGTGAACGCTGGCCAGAGTATGTGTGTGTTCACATGTGCGCCCGTGCACACGCGTGTCTGCATGACTGCCCATGTGTGCTTGTGTGGGAATGCATTGTGTGTCTGTGTGTGTGTGTCTGAGAGAGAGCTGATGCTTGGCAGTGGAGGTGTGGGTGTGAACGCTGGCGAGAGTGTGTGTGTGTGTTCACATGTGTCCCATGCACACATGTGTCTGCATGAGTGCCCATGTGTGGTTGTGTGGGGATGTATTGTGTGTGTGTGTGACAGAGACCTGGTGCATGAGAGTGGAGGTTTGGGAGTGAACGCTAGCGAGAGTATGTATGTGTTCACATGTGCGCCCGTGCACACACATGTCTGACTATGTGTGTGTTCTCATGTGCACCTGTGCACACATGTGTCTGCGTGACTGCCCATGTCTGGTTGTGTGGGAATGCATTGTGTCTCTGTGTGTGTGTGTGTGAGAGAGAGAGCTGGTGTGTGGGAGTGGAGGCGTGGGAGTGAATGCTGGCCAGAGCATGTGTGTATTCACATGTGCGCCCGTGCACACGCGTGTCTGTATGACTGCCCATGTGTGCTTGTGTGGGAATGCATTGTGTGTCTGTGTGTGTGCGTCTGAGAGAGAGCTGATACGTGGCAGTGGAGGTGTGGGAGTGAATGCTGCAAAGAGTATGTATGTGTTCACATGTGCACCCATGCATATGTGTGTTTGCATGAATGTTTACTTGTGTGGGAATGCATTGTGTGTGTGTGTGAGAGAGAGAGAGAGACCTGGTGCATGGGAGTGGAGGTGTGGGCGTGAATGCTGGAAAGAGTATGTGTGTGCTCACATGTGCACCCGTACACACATATGTCTGAGTGTGTGTTTACATGTATGTCCATGCACGCATGTGTCTGTGTGACTGCCCATGTGTGGTTGTGTGGGGATGCATTGTGTATGTGTGCGACAGAGACCTGGTGCATGAGAGTGGAGGTTTGGGAGTGAACACTAGTGAGAGTATATATGTGTTCACATGTGCACCCATACACACATGTCTGAGTATGTGTGTGTTCTCATGTGCACCTGTGCACACATGTGTCTGCGTGGCTGCCCATGTGTAGTTGTGTGGGAATGCATCGTGTGTGTGCAAGAGAGACCTGGTGCGTGAGCATGGAGGTGTGGGAGTGAACGCTGGCAAGAGTATGTGTGTGTTCACATGTGTGCCCTTGCACACGTGTGTCTGCGTGAGTGCCCATGTGCGCTTGTGTGGGAATGCATTGTGTGTGCGTGTGTGTGCGTGTGGACCATTGCTGTGTGAACGTTAGCAAGTAGGAGTGCATGAAAGTGCGTGTGGGCGTGTACCCTTATATCCACAACACACATGCACATGATGATATGTGCTCTGTCACCAGGAACATGGAAACACACGTGTGTGCAAAACCATAGGTGCTGACTTATATCCGCACATAATCATGTGTGTTCACAACGCACACGCAATTTGAATACACACGTGCACGCAGAAGCACATGTACCCTCCCGGCAGGAACACGCAAAGACACATGTGTGTGCAAAACCATGTGTGCTCACTTACATAGGCACATAATCACGTGCGTTCAAGCGCACACATGACTTGAATACACACATGCACGCGATTCACAGGATCTTCCGTGCTCACATGTGTAGACAATTATGCTCACACCCTGAGCACGGACCTGCACCCATTGGCACTTGATCATGTGTGTTCATAGTGCACACGCACATCACAAGTGTAAGCGTGTCATGATTCACAGAATCCTGTGTTCACACATGTACACTCAGGTCACAAAGATGTATATGCCCCTAATCACGCAGGCTTGCCTATACTCACGGACACACATGCAGATAATCACACGTCATCACGCATGTGTGCTCATGGCATGATCCCCTAATCATGCGTGTGATTGGTATTTCCCATGTGTGCTTGTAAGCATGTGACTCTCAGAGATGGCACGGGTGCCCTTAAGTGCCTCTCAGCGTTGTCTCTGTGTGTGTGTACGTGTGCGTGTTGCCGTGTCTGTAGACACGAGTCTGTGTGTGTGAATATGCACATACGTGACCTACGTGTGTCCGTATGTATCCACGTGGGTGTATGGAACTGTGTCTCTGTTGGTGTGAGTTTGTCCCGAGCAGGGTGCATTGAGATGTGGAGAGTTCGAAATGTGAGAGTGGAAATGTGAGAATTTGCCGTGTACGTGGGTGTGTGTGGCTGTGAGTCTTTCTGTGTGTGTGTGTATGTGTGTGTGTGCCTATTCATATGGGACGACATTTGCATGTATGTGGGCGGCAGAGAACAGGACCAGCTTGAAACCCGGCACCCCGTCAGATCTCCTGAGCCTCACCAGGACTGTTCGCTGAGCACAGAGCTGGGAGTCAGCCCTGAGCACAGAGCTGGGAGTCATCCCCGAGCACTGGTCCAGGAGTCAGCCCTGAGCCCCCTGGTGTGTGTGTGTCAGAAACCGCCGACCCTGGGTGCCCGTGTCCAGTGCTCCCTCCCCGGAGCCGGGGGCCGGCCCTGACCCTGTGCTCCGTGTCCCCGCAGACCCCCGAGGAAGGCTCGTGGACGTCCGTGTTCGCCGCCGTGTCGCCCAGCCTGGAGGGCCGCGGGGGCCGATACCTGTACAACGAGCGGGAGACGCGCTCGCTGGGCGCCAGCTACGACCCGCACCTGCAGCAACAGCTCTGGGCCGCCAGCTGCCGCCTCACAGGACTCCGGGACTCCTCGCGCCCTCTGACCCCCGAGTAGCCGTGGCCGCCCGCCCACCCCCAAACCCCCCCTCCCGCAGCACAGATCTGTGTACGGCCCCCAGACACACACACACACACATACGAACTCACACATGTGCACAGTCAACACACAGGTACTTCCGTGCACACACACAGACACACACAAACATGCAAAGACACAGACACACAAGCACACACATGCAGACACAGCCATGCACACACAGTCACACACATGCACACGCAGGTAAACACATGCACACACAGCCATGCACACAGCCATGCACACGCAGGTAAACACACATGCACACACAGTCACACACATGCACACGCAGGTAAACACATGCACACACAGCCATGCACACAGCCATGCACACGCAGGTAAACACACATGCACACACAGTCACACACATGCACACGCAGGTAAACACACATGCACACACGTGTACACACACATGTACAGACGCACACCCAGATGTACACACAGGCAAAAAACACGCACACGCAAACATGCATGGATATACAGACTCACACACGTGCACTCACAGATGCAGACACGGCCATACAAGCACACACAGACACACACGCGCGCTCCCAGGCACACACGACACACAAACACAGACTCACAAACACACTTAGGCACACAAACACACACTCAAACATACACACAGATAGACACAGACACACAAGCACACACACACATGTGGACACAGAGCCATGCGCACAGTCACATGCATGCACACACGTGTAAACACACGTGCACACACAGACATGCAGACACACGCACAAATGCACCCACGTACACCCAGATGGACACACATGGACACAGGCACAAATACGCACACACCAACAGGCATAGACACATACACTCATACACATGCACTCACAGATGGCAGACATGGCCATACAAGCACGCACACAGACACACACATGTGCTCCCATGCACACACGTCATGCAAACACACTGAAGCACACAAACACACCCAGACACGCACAAACATACGCACAGATAGACACAGACACTAAGCACACACACACACGGACACACGGGCATGCACACAGTCACACACATGCACCCAGATGTCCACACATGTACACAGAGGCACAAATACGCACACGCCAACAGGCATAGACACATACACTCATACACATGCACTCACAGATGCAGACACGGCCATACAAGCACACACAGAGACACACACACACATGTGCTCCCATGCACACATGTCATGCAAACACACTGAAGCACACAAACACACCCAGACACGCACAAACATACGCACAGATAGACACAGACACATAAGCATACACACACACGGACACACGGGCATGCACACAGTCACACACATGCACACACATGCACCCAGATGTCCACACATGTACACAGAGGCACAAATACGCACACGCAAACGTGCCCAGACACATAAACTCACACACGTGCACACACAGGTGCAGACACAGACCTACAAGCACACACAGAGACACACACTCACACACAGGCCTTCCCACGCACACACAGACCCCCACAAACGCACACACCTAGTAGACGCACAGACACACACACACAAGCATAGAAAAACACACGCACACGCAGACTCACACCAATAGACACAGACACAGACACACAAGCACACAGACTTCCCGGCAGGTGGCGGCTAGGGTGTTGCTCTCCTGGGGGGCTGCCGCGGGGGTCTCAGGGGGGCGCTGACGGATTAAAGTGCCCCCCACCTGCTCCCTCTTGCCTCCTCCTTCTGGGCAGCCGGACCCCAGGCACGTGGTCAGCGGTGGGAAGTGTGCAGAGGTGAATGGCAAAACCACACACACACACACACACACACACACACACACACGTCCTAGTGCGGGACAGGGGCACAGGTCAAAGGAGCCACAAGCGGTGGGCACGAGGGGGGGGGGTCCACGAACGCTGACCCCTTCCCGGACGAGCTGCTCCCACCCTCCCGGGCAGTTTCTCCTCCGAGCGAAGGCCCGGTAGGGAGTTCTGGGGAGGGGGGGGGACCCCGTGGACTGATGTTTCTCGCCACGGTCCGTTTCCGTGGCAACGGCCACGGAAGATGCAGCTCGGTCTACAACTGGGTCACGGCAGCGGCAACCGGACTTCAAGATTAGCCCCCGCCACTCAGAACCCGAGTCCCCGCTCCCATCACACTGGACACATTCCCAGCCAGAACTCCAGCCCGCCATACTGGCTCCCGGGAGGTCCACGCCTGGTTGTGTTCAGCAAACGCAGACACGGACGCTTGCAGCCGTGGCCAGGCAGAGGGCCACGTGCTCATGTCGTGACTGTGTTTGGCATCTCGAAGATGCTACGGGGAGCTTGCCAGGCTCTGCCACCGTGCGGGCCGGATCCTCATGGGAGCTTTCCGGTTTCTCCGAGAGGGACGGAGGAATCGAACCCGGGTCGGCCACGTGCAAGGCAAATGTCCTCCCCGTGGTACGATCGCTCCGGTCCTCAGAAATGCAGCAAAAGCAACAGACGTATTCTGGGGCGTCTCCTGACACTCCTCACACACACACACACACACACACACACACACAAAGCCCCGTGAAACACACTTCTCGCTACTCATGCGTCTACCAACCACATTTCTCTCCCTCACGAGGCCACGTCGCCGGGAGAACTAACTCGGACTCTTCTTCGTCATCATCCCTCTTTGCTTCAGAACCAGAAGGAAAAGGAAGTCACTGAGGGCGTGGGGGTGTCTTGAAGGCGCAGGGTGAGAGTCTCACTTTCCCTCCTGGCTCACGTGGTTACTCTTGTCTTCCGTGGTCTGTGGGTTCTCCAAGGGGAGCCCGTGTGTGTGTGTGTGTGTGAGTCGTTGTTGTAGTTCGGGGAAGAGGGAAAGGAGGAGGGAGACGGGGGGTTACTAGACTGCCATGAGATGGCAGGTCACTAGAGGTCGATTCCGGACGCAACGAGAGGGAGATTAGGGGGTGGTTGACAGCTTGTGAATCGGGAAGATGGTAGATGCTGGTGGGTGGGTGGGTGGGTGGGTGGGTGGTTGGGTGCATGCGTGGATGGATGGGTGGGTGGGTGGGTGGATGGATGGATGGATGGATGGATGGATGGATGGATGGATGGATGGGTGGATGGGTGGGTGGGTGGGTGGATGGACGGATGGATGGATGAATGGGTTGGTGGATGGGTGGGTGGATGGGTGGATGGGTGGATGGATGGGTGGATGGATGGTTGGATGGATGGATGGATGAATGGGTGGGTGGATGGGTGGATGGATGGGTGGATGGATGGATGGATGGATGGATGGATGGATGGATGGGTGGATGGATGGATGGGTGGATGGATGGATGGATGGATGGATGGGTGGGTGGATGGATGGATGGATGGATGGGTGGGTGGGTGGATGCATGGATGGATGGATGGATGGATGGGTGGGTGGGTGGATGGGTGGGTGGGTGGATGGGTGGATGGATGGATGGTTGGATGGATGGATGGATGGGTGGATGGATGGATGGGTGGGTAGATGGAGGGAGGGAGGGATGGATGGATGGGTGGATGGATGGATGCATGGATAGTTGGATGGATGGATGGGTGGATGGACGGGTGGGTGGGTGGGTGGATGGACGGGTGGGTGGGTGGATGGATGGATGAGTAGATGGGTGGGTAGATGGATGGATGAGTGGATGGGTGGTGGATGGATGGATGCATGGATGGATGGGTGGGTAGATGGATGGGTGGGTGGGTGGATGGATGGATGGGTGGATGGGTGGGTGGGTGGATGGATGAATGGATGGGTGGATGGATGGGTGGGTGGATGGGTGGATGGATGGGTGGGTGGGTGGATGGATGGATGGATGGATGGATGGATGGATGGGTGGGTGGGTGGGTGGATGGATACATGGATGGGTGGGTGGGTGGGTGGATGGATACATGGATGGGTGGGTGGGTGGGTGGGTGGGTGGATGGATAGATAGATGAATGGGTGGATGGGTGGGTGGGAGGGTGGATCAATGGGCAGGTGAATGGATGGACGAATGGGTGTGTGGGTGAATGGATGGGTGGGTAGGTGGGTGGGTGGATGGATAAGGTGGAGGGTGGAAGGATGGATGGGATGAATCAATGGTTGGATGGAGGAGTGGGCGGATGGACAGATGACAGGCTAATGGTCGGATGGGTGGGTGGATGATGATGGATGGGTGGGTGGAAAGATGGGGTGCAGTGTGCGTGAATGGGGGATGGGTTAATGGGTGGAGTGGAGGAAGCATGCGTGAGCAGACAGGTACTTAGACACTCGTGGCCTTCTGGTGGGGGTTGTGCAAACTCGACTCACGGGTCCCCACCCCCCAGCCTCGAGACGGGACTCCCTGGGACTCGGTCTAACCACACACGCTCCCTCTTCCCTTCCAGACTAGCTGGGCGGCACCTCTGGGCCCCGTGGGTGGCGCAGGGAGACGGTGAGGAAGGTCGGAGAGGAAGATGGTTCTCCCGGCTCTGTCCCTGGCCACGGCGGGATCTCATCTGGTTCTAACTGGGCTCCATCCCACGCTCAGTGTCTCGGAACCCGGAGGGCTTCCTGCACGACGTCCAGATCCCAGAACGGGCAGAGACTCTCCCAAGGGTGCTCCGGGGTGGGGGGGGTGGGGCAGAGAAAGTTACAGAGCAGGAAGGCAAGGACGGATCGGAGCTGTCGTGCAGGAGGGAAACCGAGGCTCGGACCTTCGCCGGCTGGCCTGCATTCCCAGCGGTTTGCAGGAGAGAAGCTCCACCCGTCGTACGTGGAAGACGCTTCCCGCTGCCCTTCCTGCCGCACACCCACCCTCGGAAGACCGTCATCTCCGTGTGAGGAGAAGCACGCACACACAATCTGAGCCCCTGCCCGGGTGGCCGGCATGGAGGACTGGCTCGTCCACTCGCTGCAGGACGTCTCCCTTTTGCCCACGCCCTGGGGTTACCAACAAGAGCGTGCCTGCGTGGTGCAGACCCTCCATCCACGCTGCCAAGTCCCCTCTACACCAGTCTCAGTGGCTGCAGTGAAATTCCAGGACCACCCAGAGGTGGTTCGTTACCCTGCAGACGACAGGTGGGTGAAGCCTTGGTTCCGTTCGCCCTGGAAATTCCGAGCGGGCTGGGCAGGAGACGTGGAGTGTGCGGTTGGCAGCAGAGGTGTGCCAGCGTCTCGGCCATCTCTGTCGTGGCCTGAGTCCCACCCCCAAGGAAGGGCCACCGGCCTGTCGCTCAGAGCTAAACCCCGAGTGCCCAGACAGGAGGCAGAGACTCGTGTGCTCAGCCTTCTCCTTGGCCAATGGCGCATGTCCACTGATACAGGCTCCGGGAGTCGGTGGTGCTCTTGTCCACGCGCCTGGGAATCTGACTCTGGTGTGTTTACGTTTGTGTTGGAGCCACGGCTGGCTCTGCACTCCGGCATCCGTCCCGGGGAAGAGGGGGAACTCGGGCAGACCAGCCACCCTACCCGACACGAGCTCCGAAGCTTCCCGAGCCACGTTCCAGCAGCACCTCCCAAAGCCACGTTCAAGCCATGCCTCCCAAAGCCACGTTTGAACAGTGCCTTTCCAAGTCACGTTTGAGCCGTGCCCTCCAAAGCCACGTTCGAGCAGCGCCCCCAAAGCCACGTTTGAACAGCATTCCCGAAGCCATATTTGAGCAGCACCTTCCAAAGCCGCGTTCAAGCAGCATCTCCCAAAGCCACGTTCAAGCCATGCCTCCCAAAGCCACGTTTGAGCAGCACCTTCCAAAGTCGCGTTCGAGTCGTGCCTTCCCAAGGCACTTTCGAGCAATACCTCCCAAAGCCACATACCAGCACTGCCACGTTCCAGCAGCACCTTACAAAGCCACGTTCTGGCCGTGCCTCACAAAGTCATGTTCCAGCAGCACCTCACAAAGCCACGTTCTGGCAGCACCTCGCAGTCACATTCCAGCAGCACTTTGCAAAGTCACGTTCCGGCCGCGCCTGTCAAAGCCACGTTTCGGCACCGCTATATTTGAGCAACACCTTCCCAAGGCCACGTTCCAGCAGCGCCTCACAAAGCCACATTCGAGCAACATCTCCCAAAGCCACATTCCGGCAGTGCCTCTCAAAGCCACGTTCCAGTAGCACATTACAAAGCCACGTTCCGGCAGCACCTTACAAAGGCACGTTCCAGCAACTGCCACATCTGAGCAGCGCCTTCCCAAGCCACGTCCGAGCAGCATCTCCCAAAGCCACGTTCCGGCAGCACCTTGCAAAGTCATGTTTCGGCCACGCCTGTTAAAGCCACCTTCCTGCACTACCACATTCCAGCAGCGCCTCCCAAAGCCACATTCCGGCTGCATCTTACAACACCACATTCCAGAAGCGTATCACAAAGCCACATTCCGGCTGCATCTTACAACACCACATTCCAGAAGCGCATCACAAAGCCACATTCTGGCATCACCTTCCCAAGCCACGTTCTCACAGCATCTCCCAAAGCCACGTTCAGGCAGTGCCTCACTAAGCCACGTTCTGGCATTACCTTACAAAGCCACGTCCCAGCAGCGTCTTACAAAACCACATTTCGGCAACACATCACAAAGCCACGTTCGAGCAGCATTTCACAAAGCCACGTTCTGGCAGTGCCTTACAAAGCCATGTTCTGACAGCACCTCCCAAAGCCACATTCTGGCCGCACCTCACAAAGCCACACTCCAGCAGCACTTTGCAAAGTAACATTCCGGCAGCACCTCACAAAACCACGTTCTGGCATT